AGTGATGGTGTTGAATGGAGAAGAACCAGAAGCGTTGAAACAAAATGGCTATTTTTGTAGTGATTTTATAACATATTTATGTTAGAATTTTCGAATAAATTATATTTGCTGTACTCCGTATTTAGCACTCTTTCAAGAATATTATTTTTCGGTTATTGGAATTTATTCCATATACTCCAGTCCTTTACTTGGATATATATATATATATATATGTGTGTGTGTGTGTGTGTGTGTGTGTGTGTGTTAGTTGACGTATCAGGGTCAAGCAGCTCAGATCCGAGAAACCAACAGACAGACACCTGCAGATATGATTTGATCATAGCCACACCTTTCGAAGAGCCGAATTCAGAGATCTGGTGCACTACGTGCCACAAGGTCCCCAAACGATGCTCCGCAGGTTTTGAATTCAGAGTTGTACTCCTGGACCAGATGCCATCCAAAGCTAAAGAACCCCGCCTGTCTAGCTATTTACCCACTGTTGGAAAGAGAAGAGTATTAATACCTTTCCCATGGATATTAGATTCGACTGGAAATCGAACTCGGCTTTCTGATTCCTCAATTCGAGCCGCTATCCACTACTCATATATATATATATATATATATATATATATATATATATATATGGATATATATGGATATATATATATATATATATATATATATATATATATATATAAATTTATTTAAAAATATGATTCCAACGCAGCGTTGGAATCATATTTTTAAATAAATAATTATATTTAGGCCCTACTTTTGTATTGAGCACTTTTTTTTTTTAAATAATAACAAAAATACTAAAGAACTTTGGATTATTTACATAACGAGTTCTTTCCTATTTTTCTATATCTTTACACACACACACACACACACACACACACACACACACATATATATATATATATATATATATATATATATATATATATATATATATATATATATTATTAGGAAATGAATTAAATCTGACATATTATTTTTAATTTATTTTGTTTAAACGTTATTTCTAATTGATACTCATATCACAACAGAAGCTTTTTTTTAATTAAACAGTATTTTTAATCCAACTACATCTACCGGCCTGAAACAACCATTAGAATAATACAATGAGCCTACCCATAATGCCTCACACTGTAATTTTGGACTTTTATCAATATTCAAAAATAAATTACTGACATAGTAACAATTCTTTTGTAAACTAAGCTACTTTAAGCTGCCTTAAATAAAAATCTTAACTTGGATGACTAAGGATCATTAGAGAAGTAGCCTGTCGGGTTAGGTTCAATTTTATATTCAAAGAATCAAAATGAAACAAGTTAGTTTAACCATTAGAGGAAAAAAAGAAAAAAAAAAGACGAAATTCTTGAAAGTTTAAATCACAAGAGCAACTAAAAACAACTACTTGCATTATAAATGAGATCAAAGATTGAAGATTCTTAAATACCAAACACTATGTTCTAGACAAATAGAAACACACACACACAGATGTATCTTATTTGTATGTTCATTTTCTTACGTATATACAAGTGCTCTATTTTAAATTCTTTTAAAAACAGCTTCCGAAAATACATAAAGATAATAAAACAGATCTATTTGTTACAAAGATGGTACTACCACACCGGATCAGAATAGGTCAGATAATAATTCCCAAGAACTCAAATGGTTTACCAAAAACATGTGTATTCATACATGATGGTCAGTTAAAGGTCATCGCTGAATCTTTAATGAATGCCGGTCTCATAACCATTGTTGGCTATGAGACCGGCAATGACTTTTGAAACCAGTAAATGGCTGAATTACTTATCCACAAACGGAGCAAACAAGATCTTCTGGTTGTGTCGTTATGTCCAGATGCCTAGTTCGCGTTCAGATGCTTTGTTAGATCAGAACAGACTCTTTTCTACGCTCCTCACATAATAGATGACTGTTCACAATGAATATCTCATAGTTGATTAATGGTCTTTAAGCATGTCTACGTTAACGACTGCTTAAGAATACGTTTGATAGACAGACTCACCCACACTCTTGGCAGACAAAATGTGACACACCCGAATCTACAGTAACATAGTTGTTGGCTGCTCTCTTTTTTAGTTAAGGTGTTCGCGTTGTTTTGAAAGCAACGGGATTCACTTTACACCAGCTTTCGTTACCGATTCTGTCACACGCCACCATTTCGCCGATGGGATCGTCACTATTAAATCGTACTAGTCAATCATTGAGACAATCTTTGAACCGTTTCCTTTTGCTGTGGGTGTGAACCAGCAATTAGTTCCCTATATAGTAGCTGCCAAGAAATGCGTTCGTCACCAAATCGCATGATGTAATCCACTCTAACGAAGTCGATGTCAGTGGATGCATCTGGAGTGTGGATTATCCATTGGATACTTAGAATTATTTTTAAGCAGCGCCTTTGAAAGCAAAGCACTCAAATTCCTTCAGACCTCTCCAGTTTCACCTATGTTTCATGCATACATATAAAGACTATATATATATAAAGAGATACATATACAGACTATATGTAAAGGGTGCAATGAGTAAATTGTCGCCATTTTATATTTTTCATTTCACGCATGCGCATTGTTCGTATATGATTTTGTCACCTGCACAGTATAGTAGGGTCACTTGGGTACAGTCTGTGAGAAAAACAGCACCACGGCGCAATACACTCTGCCAGAAATTTGCGCCGGAAGCTCTAATAGGAAATTTTCAGAGTGTTTGGGTGTCAATCTGGGGACAGTGCAGAAGACCCGGAAAGAGTTGGATGAGTTCAATGGTGATTACAAAGGTGTTTCGAGTGATCACTAGCGATGACAACGTCAGGCCTCCATTCATCTTCCAACAGACTCAGACTCAGACTCAACACGAAGGCCTACATCAAGTGTCTTTAGGAGATAGTTCTGCTCTGGCTCAAGAGGGTGACTGCTGTAAGATTATCTGGCAATAGGACCATGCACCACAAGTAGTAGAACCCTGTCATGGCTGTCATCACCCTTTACATTTGACTACCTAACTCTCAAGACTACAACACACTTGATTATTATGTGTGGGGTGCAGTTAAGCGAGAGACAAAAAAAAACTCCTTGTAACACCAAAGATGGCAAGGATTTTGACATCATTCACCAACCTAAACAAGGAGAACGCCTAGAAGAGTTGCAGGAGATTCAGATGTCGTCTGGAGGCAGTGGTTGAAGCTCATGGCGATTTTATTGAATAAGTTTACTCTTTCGTATTTCAAGATATTTTTGTGTCATTTTGGTGAATATATCTGTTAAAATGAGATGTTGGTGCTAATTTTTATTTCTGCGGCATTTAAACGACAATTTATCCATCGCACGCTGTATAATCTTTATATAGACAGCGATTCAAAAAGGAAAACGAGAAGACAAAATTAACAGCTAACTTTTAGAAGAACTGATATTATTTATATTGTTCAGACTGTTGTCCTCATCTTTACTGTCATATTCACGATGTTTCGGTCGTTATACGCTCCGGCCTTCTTCAGATGATTGGAATTTCTAACTTCATTTCGTTATCTTTTCTGCATAAGCCAATCGTCTGATTCACACTCCTCTTCGATCTTTTGAACAGGAGTAGAGGTATATCCCTTGGTTCTTGTTTATGATTGGGTTTCCGGTTGGTTCTAAAGTCTTCTCATTCTCTTTCATTACTAGTAACCGCCTTGCTTCTTAGTTGCCTTATAAACTCACTTCACGACTTTTCTTACGCTCGTACACCAATACAGTAACCCTCTACTTTGAGTGCCTCTTAGCCCTTGTGTTGGATGAACATTAGTATGAAAAAAAAAGATCGGACAATGTTTAACATAAGGACCCGCAAAAAATGGTGCTGCAAAATGATGCTTTTCTCTTGACACAGTTATTCATCTATATTTAGAATTTTAATAAAAGTCAAACATGAAACAGGATTTATTTCTACTTATATACCATGCTTAGAACAATGCTGTCACATATGATCCGGTGTCCCTGCTATTTACCTGGAGCTCCTTGATAAAATTCAAAGAAGAATCAGCAATATTATTGGTCCGGATCTGGCAGCTCAGCTTCAGTCACTTTCCCACCGCCGTAAGGTTGCCTCTCTGTCTTTTCTCTAAATAGTTTGATGGTAATTGTTCGGATGAGCTCTTCACTATGGTACCTAGACTATTTGATTTTAAACGCAGTCCTAAACTGGCGTCAACATCTCAGCAATTTATAGCTGGGCTGTTTAGATATAACCGTAGGTTCTATGCTAACAGTTTCTTCTCTCACCCTTCTCCCTTCCACCTCCATGTTTTTCAACCAATTTTAATCTGCAAAAATTTAAATGCAATGTCAATCGCTTTCTACTGACGTCCTGATTACTCTTTCCTTTTTCTGCTCATCAGTATTGTTTCTGTTCTTAATTCTTCAACACCCTGTAACCCATTGTGTCTTAGTGGCTTTATTGCCTTACATGGGAGGATGCCGATTAAAAATACATAGTTTTTTTTTGTATATCGGAAATTGAGAACAAAAGTATTAAACAGTATTTATTTTATTAGATTATCTTCGAAATGTGATGTTAGTCTCAATGTACGTTTAACTAATGACGGATTAGAGAATACTTGGGTTTCTTCTGCGACTTTTAACAAGATTTGACCTTCATCCACCGAGAAGGAAATAATATTAATTTCTCTTTCAGTTAATGTGGGAAGACTTTCAATAAAATATAACCTTCACCGACATAAAAAAAAATCATCGATTTTATTCAAGACGATTGGAAGTCGAAATATATAAATGAGATGCACATACTGGCATAAGCGGGCTACAAAAGCTTTCACGGCTTAAGCATACAAAAAGAAGAGAAAAGATCAATCGATATATATATATATATATATATATATGTGTGTGTGTGTGTGTGTGTGTGTGTGCGTGTGTGTGTGTGTGCGTGCGTGCGTGTGTGTGTGTAACTCAGTGTGAGTTTCTAAGTAAGCACGATAAAATTCTTAATCTTTAATTGAATACTTCTTTGCTAATAATGGAAAGAAACATACTGATAGATAGATAGATAGATAGATAGATAGATAGATAGATAGATAGATAGATAGATAGATAGATAGATTTGTTGCGTACAGCTTATCTAAACTGAGTTATTTAAAGCTGAAACATTTTGGATTATAAAAATAATTCTTTTTTGCTAGTGAATATCGCATTAACATTTTTTTTTTTTTAGAATAACAATTATTTTAGCTTATACATGTCCTACTACTTAAACAATAGCTGGGTGGAGGAGATGTATTCATACCTTTCACTATGATATTTGTGGGTGAGTGATTAAGCAGAATGAGATAGATAGATAGATAGATAGATAGATAGATAGATAGATAGATAGATAGATAGATAGATATTAAAATAAAATTCTGATTTCAGTCATAATATTTGTGTGATTCTCAAGCAGTCATTCGAGTTTTCCCCTAAATATTTATCCTATCAAAACTGAAATTACACTCACAACAATACATTGAAAATAAATAATATTTTAAATGTGTTTATCAAAATCTGTGAATTTTAACTATGTTGGGAAAATGCCCCACAGTACAAATGGACTTTTAAATGAAGGGAAGCTTCACTTCGCATCAGCTATTAATGAAATAGAAGCGTCAATTCTAGACCTGATGTATTTTAGCACTGTTCAATTCGTTTACGTTAATACGTGGAATAATATTATCTGCAAACAAACTTACATTGGGTAAGTTACTACAATTTATTTTTTCAGAAAAGTGAAGGGAAAAAAAGCGAACGGAAAAATAAATTACAACAAAGAAAAATTATCTAAATGCTTTCTCCCTTTACAGTCAATAAACACCGTTATCTCATCGACCAGCCGTATCTTTGAACCGGAAGTACAAGCGTCGCCATGTTTGATGTGATTCTAAAATGACATCTTAATTAGTTTGGACCCTCACGTGTTAAAAAGAAAGCCATGTATCAATCATAAGAGTTGCATGATGACACCGATTAAAGTAAATATTATTTTGTGTCGGTGAGCGAGTAAATAAATAACGCTTAATAAATAACGCTTATAATTAAAAAGGACAAGAACAAAGAAAAAGAAAGATTTAAACAGAATATCCCACAAATGAAATATTCAGTTTTTCAAGCTTGCTTTGCCAGATCATTTACTACTAAGTAATGTGCTCGATTCTCACTGGTGCTCTATACTTACGGCCTTGTGCCACATCTAAGCTATACTTATTAAATCCTTTAATATTTACCCTGGCACAGAAGTTTGCTTTTGGTCAGAAGGGAAGTACCGTGTTCTCATTTTATATGGGAAAAGGCTCCCAGTCCCGGGGATGCCAAACCTGTGGTAAAACCTTTCTCTTTGCACTAAGAGAGGTGGTGTCACTGTAACATCATATTAGTCGCGGGAACTGGGCAAATTTTATTTTATTTGGACCATATGCATACATATGTATATGGGCTCCTCGCGAACTTGTGTTACATTCTGCTTTAGTGGGTAGGCCGGTTAGATAAAAATTGTTGAGTAATGACTTCGATACTCACTAGACCATGTGTCATATTTAAGCTTCACTTATTAAGGTATGCTATATTTATATTTAAGGTATGCTATATTTATCTATATACGCTCAATATCAGGGATCACACCAAAAATATCATGGAAAATAATGAAAAGAACATTAGCCTACAACAATCAATCGAAAAAAACTGTAACTTTGCCTGGAAGAAAAATAGCCATAATTACCTTCTCAGACCAAAACAAACGACTAAATAAGCGACCGAAACTCATATCAAAATGCAGGCAAAAAAATTTACTGCGTTAGTTAAAAATTAAAAACTGAAAATGATGAAGAATAAATGAAAATAATAAAGAAACAAAATTAAATTAACAAAAACAAGTAAAATAAATTAATCCAAACAAATAAAAAATAAATAAACTTAGTCAATAATAAACAAATTAACAAACTACGCCCACCAAAATGACAGTGAGGATAATACTATAGACTACCCACAATGCATCACTGATCTGTATATATAGAAAGTCGAGTAAATACACAACGGACAAGGCCTGACGATTGCGCTCAACATGAAACAGATTGTCGCCTCTGGGTGTTGACTTCAATGCCCACTTTTTATATATATATATATATATATATATATATATATATATATATATATATATATATATATATATATATATATATATATATATATATATATATATATATATATATATATATATATTATATATATATATATATTTATATATATTTATATATATTATATATATATATATATATATATATATATTATATATATATATATATATATATATATATATATATATATATATATATATATATATATATATATATATATATATATATATATTATATATATATATATATATATATATATATATGGAAACAACAAACGATATATTTAACATCAGGAAGAGACAGCTGAAATTTCTAGGGCATATAATGAAGAAAGAGTGTTTGGAAAATCTGGCACTCACAACACAAACTGAAGGCCAAAGCGACAGAGGAAACAACACATAACCTGCCTAGCGAACTTGTGGAAATGGATGGCGGAGCAAGGTTTAGGAGTGAAAACAAAAAGACGGAATTTATTGAGAACTACAAAGGATAAGAAATCGAAGAAAGCCATGATCACCAACGTCCTGAAGGCACATAGAAGAAAAATTTCAATTTATTTCCTTATACTGCATACGTTTGATTAAATGATAATAATAATAATATTCATTAATGATATAGCTATTAATAAAGACATTCAAAAATCTATTAATATACCATCTAGTTGACCGCTTCAAGAGTTTTCTACGGATTATTAACCCTTTGCAGGTTATTTAAAACCAGAAAATAGTTTTAGATTGAAAGAATAATGGATTAGTGATACAAGTCTTATTAATTAGCACCTAGCTGATGGGATAAGAGGTAGGTTCATAACTTACGCAAGGGTATTTGCGCGTAAGTGATTATAACAAATCCAACTGGAAATGGAACTTGACTCTCCGATTAACAATTTCAAGCCATTATCCATTACACCACCCGCACATCTAAGCTTACAGCATCTGGTATCCCCAAAGTAGTTACCAATCTAGGTACTGAGCAGGCTCGATGTTGCTTAACTTCGGAGATCGTACGGGAACCGGTGTTTCAACGTGATGTTGCCGTAAGCCAGTTACACTTGGAATTTGATAGATAGATAGATAGATAGATAGATAGATAGATAGATAGATAGATAGATAGATAGATAGATAGATAGATCCTATTTAGATTTAAAAGTTGTCGATCGCAGCAATTACTTCCCTTTCGTGCGTCTTCGCTTAATTCGTACGTAAAAAAAAACAATAATTGACCCAATAGAAATCAGTCTTTTCAGTTTCCTATTTCTCATCTCTTGTCTTTTTATGCTTCATCTCAGCGTTCCAATTTTCGCTTAAAGACCGAAAAAAACAGAAATTCAATATTTTCGTGCTTCATTAAGTTTTTTGTTTATTTCATATCTTGTATTATTTTTTTTTTCTTCTCGCTTACTCAAATAGATTTTTACAACTGCTACTTTTTTTATTGTCTCTCAACATAAGCCTTGATTTGATTCTTTCATATTCATTCAATTTCTTTCCTTTTCTTTTGCTAGCTCTCTATTTAATATATTTCACTTATTCGCCTTTCCTTTTTTCCTGTATCTTTTTATTTCATATTATTTTCTTACTTTATTCTTTTCCATATTTTTGTTTTGTTATTTTTGTTTCATTTCTTATCTCAATTTCTTTCCCTCTTTCTTTCTTACTTCTTTTCTTTTTGTTCCGTTACTTTTCTTTACTTAATTTCTTTCTTTCTTTATTCCTAACTGATGTTGGCTTTTTCTTAAGTTTATTCAACTAATTCACACGATTCGGATATATTTATTATCCTGTATTTCTTACTTTATCTTTTCTACTTCTGTAACTTTCTCTCTCTTTCTTTCTTTCTTTCTTTCTTTCTTTCTTTCTTCTTTCCACCCCCCTTCATTTGTTATTTATTTATCTATTTCTCTATTTTATGTCTTTCTTTCTTATTCTATTTTACTTCTTTCTTTCTTTCCTTCTTTCTTTCTTTCGATCGTTCAATTTCTTTCTTCTCGATTTTCCTTTCTTTCTTTTTTTTGGCCAGTTTCCGTCTTTCTTTCTTCCTTCCTTTCGTTCATTCATTTTTCCATTCGTGTCTTCTTTCTTCATTTTTTAAAAAAAATTTTTCTAGCTTCCTTCCAGATTAAACTCTGTAAATAACTTTAATGCGCCTATAATAGTGTGGCGGCAAGCAACTTCAGCTCACACACTAATCTGCGTGGGCCAGAAATCGCTTTGAGGAGTCCCTTGAACTGACAGGAAAGCTTGATATACACAAAAAAGATATTCAAATATTATAATAATTGACGTGGCAGAAAATTTCCCGCAGAGGCTGTTTTTTTTTTTGTCTACTGTAGACTGTTTACGAATCAGTGCTATAGGACTCAGACTTTTCAAATCGAGGGTTCTGCCTGGTGCAGATGACATGTCTTATTTTGTTAAGATATTTCCATCCATGTATTTAGCAGATTCTGTCCACAACACAATGTAAAATAAAGCTTCTACTTAGAGTTGTTAGTGTATGACAGGAAAATCATAATCGCAAATTTCTTTGAAATTACCGGTATATAGAATAAATGATAATACCGGATGTAGACATCGGAAGTTTCTACATAAATCATTTTCCGTTTTAAATATGGCAAGTGAGGTTCGGTAAGTAATCAGATTTGGGTTTTGTTTTTTTTATCTTCTCCCAAATTTAGTAAATAATATGCAGTATTATTGATTATTTCGTATTATTTTGTTTTAATTCTCATCAAGTGTGAATTTTTCATTATTAATGTCAAAAGCTGAAAACACTTCGGTTCATTGTTATTATTTCTTATGTTGCTGCCTTCGTTAAAAAAAAAAAAGAGCTTTTAAAAAATGTCTAATGACAGGACAGTCTGTTTCTTTTTCTTTTTTCTATTTTTGGGTTTTTTTTGTGGGTGTCTGTGTTGGACATTAGCGTCGAGTTAGGGGTTCCGTCTCGCCGAAGCACAATAATTTCCCTTTGTAGCTCAATCATTTGTTGCATGATTTCATCAATCAAATCGAAGGTTACGCCTGGTGCAGATGCCATGTCTTATCTTGTTAAGATAGTTCCACGTACTCACCCAATCTTGTTCACAGTGACATGTAAAATAAACACAACGGCGAATTACTTTATTCTTGTACCAACGAGATACAAATTCAAAAATACCCTTGGCTCCTGGTTACTCAACTGTTTATATAACACCGTATATATAGCTGGCCACTCGTATTCGAAGTTACCTGCCTACTACGGCGGCTATCCAGTCCCTATTGCAGACGTATTTGTGTTTATTCAGAGCCTACCTGTGGTTTATATTGCAACTATGCTGAACAGAGTTTAGTCATAGTTTCTGTTATTTAGCGTTTTCAACAATTAATCAAATCGGCCACGATGACCTGTGACTATCGACGGCCACCAAAGTTTGTGTCTATCCAATTTCCCCTTACAAGGCTTAGGTCAAACCGTGGTATGGTTTTCAGACACTTCCGAAAGGTACGCTATGATCAGCACTACCTTCCGATAGCATCAGGAAGTTCCTTTCGACCATGGTGAGAATGCGAATGTTCTAACCACTCGGCCACCGTATAGAAGGTTTGATATTAAATAGCAATTCAGCGCTATTTTCTTTGTTTCTATCAAACTTTTCATGTCTCCTTAGAGCTGAAATTCTGCATTTGATTGATTCTGCCATGTTAGCATCTTGGGTCGTCCCTCTTGTTGAAAACTATACATTCTGTCTTCATATAATTGAGGCCCAACCTAAACATTACTAAATGCTTATATTACTGAGACATATCCTATGATTCATCCTTAATTGGCTCGCATAAATAAGCGAATGGTGATTAATATTGTGATACGTATTCTTCTATTTGCTAGCAATATTCTTCACTAACAAAGAAGAAAGAAAAAAACATTGTTCTATCAACAGTAATTTGACCCTGGCGTTCGATTTTCTCTTTACGAAGACTATCCTTTTGATGTATCGTTTCCAGCAAGACAAGTATTTAAAGACGAAATATTGAATTTTTATTTTCTACTATTTCGTTTAATTCTGTGAAAAAAAATTATTGATTGATTAATTCGGGTAAGTCTTGTGGTGTAATTTGAAATTAATTTCTTTGTTTACTCTTTTAAATTGAGAGAAAATGAAGTAAACACGTGATCTACAGAAGAGTTCGTTTGCTACCAAACACGAAGACGAATCGAGGCATACAACGTGGAAAGACATTATCGATTCCAACAGCAATCCCCTCCCCACCTTCTCCTGCCCTCTCTCTCTTTTGTCTCCACACACACACACACACCCTCTCTCTCTCTCCTTTTTGCTCCACCTACGCTTAACTGATATTTATTTACTCGGTTTCAGAGCGTGGGTGATCATGGCCCTCCATAACTTCCTCTTCCTTGTAGCTTTTAGAAACATTTTTCTACTTTTGCCAAGCCTTCCACCTCACGTTCCACCATCCATTCACACAAGTTCGTCAGATAGGTGGTCTTCTGTCTCCACAGTTCTTTTTGCTTTCGATATGTCCTGTGAGTGCCAAATTCTCCGTGCCTTCCTTCCTCATTACGTGCCATTGGAATTTTAGCTGTCTTATTGAAATTCTGAATCACTTTCCCCATTGTTGTAATGTAGCTTCCCTGTAAAATGTTCTATGCTAATTGTTTCTTTTCTTGCACTTCACGCTTGTGGAACTCTCTTCTGGATTCTTGCTTTTCAGTCAAATTTGGTCTTCAAAAATATAAATGCAATGTCAATCGTTATCTTCTGTCTTCTTAATTCTTGTTCTTTTATTGTTCTCTCTCCTTAGTAATGTTTCTTTCTTATATTCTTTCACACTCAATACCCCCCTCCCCCCAGCGTCTTATTGGTTTTATTGCTTTACTTGGGGTGAAATGATTCACAAAAAATGTGTCTTTTTGCTTTCTATTTCGCTTAAGACTTCGTCGTTTCTTAAGCGATCCCTCCATTGTGTTTTCCTCATTTCTGCTGCTTCCAATCTTCTCTTCATCTGAGAATCACTTCTTAATTTCTGTCTTTCCCAGATACACTCTGGCACGAGGTGGTGGCACCTGTTAGCATCGCAGTTATGGGAAAATAGTTAACCCCCAAAATGTGGCCAAAATGTTATGAAAATATAAAAATACATTTTTATAGTAAAAATACCAGCAATACTTTTCATAGTTAAAAAAATTACCAGACATACATTTTTATTAACGAAATTACTAATGCTCCCAAGAAAATTACATTTCGGCATTAAATGACCCATAAGAAAATGATATGCTGCTAAACAAACAAACCTCTTTTCATCTATGAGATGAGTGCCCAGCATTCACTGCTATATAGGCAGTAATTATTCATGTATAATACGCACTATATATATATGTGTGTGTGTGAGTGTGTTGAAGGAACCAAGCTGACTTACCTAATTTCTCTCATCCTCAACCACATCAGACAGGACCATGCTTGCAGAGGTGATGAGGTTGTAGGAATCCTTAAAATTTGGAGAGTTAGGATTCGATACAAAATATCGTTACAGGATCGCTCGTAATTTGGCCGTCTAGAATAATCACATGATTTTCATTGCAAGAATAAAATTCAGTAGAAACGACAACGTAGTTTCAACTGATCTCACATTCCTCCGATTTCCTATCGTTACTTTTTTTTTTGTTTTCATTTGGAATTTAAAATGCTTCATCTTCGCAGTTCATTTGAAACACTCTTGTTCTTTGCTAATATAATATAAACTGTTAACAAGGTAACCTATCTGTCCATCAATGGACAAGAAATAAATATATATTCACGTTACGTTGGATAGTCCGATATAACAAATTCTCGCGGGTATTGGTAAAATGTTGATCTAATGTTCCGAAGAAAAATAATACCTACATCTCTGATAATATCACCGTTCTCTCTTCAACCCCGTCACAAATTTGTTTCCCGTTCCAGCGGATTGTTGTGTTCATGAGTGTGGAGATACCATAGCCCTTCTGCCCCTAATAAGTCTTTGGTCATCTCAACAGCTGGGTTGTTACTGAAAATCACTTGAGACGTCCTGGTGAAACCTAGAATTTGATTTGCTTGTGAGTTTATTGTTTTTGAAACCAAAATAAAAAAAGTACAACAGTTTAAATAACCGGGAAGTGTTTTAACAGGGGACAGAAAGTGCAACACCAAAATCAGAAGGGAGCTCGGGATAGCGAAAATGCCTTCCAAATGCTAAGCAAAGTATTAAGAAACAGGAAAATTTCGTTAGAAACAAAGAAAAGAGA